TGATGTTTTGAATTGAGAATCTGTGGGTTCTGGCCAGCTGGGGCTGTAGAATTAGCTTTACTGGGATAATTGATGCTGGTTAGCTGGGGCTGAAAAATCAGCTGTAAGTACCAAGAGACCAGCATCACCATGGTGGAGTCTTCTGGGAGGCATTTCCTCAGGGTCAGCACACAGAGGGGACTTGAGCCTCCATCTGTAGCTGGAAGCAGGACTTGGTAATGTGTAAGAGTCTCCTGCATGGTTCTGGTGTTGAAAGTGTGAAGGGGTCAGAGAGAGCAGCTGAGGCTTGGCACCCTGAGAGGCCAGGAAAGGCCATTGGTGAAAGTGCAGCTTCAGTTGCAGCGAAGACCCCAGGATTGAAGGGGTCATGGAGAGATTCTGAGACCCCCAAGAGGCAAAAAGAGGCCATTGGTGAGGGTGTAGCCTCAGTTTCAGTGGTGACCCCAGCTCTTTGGAGATGCCGGGACCATGGGACGACCACCAAGGACAGCAGTAGGTGTGGAATGGAGCTGGCCTGGGTCTGCGAGACGAGCTGAGTGTGCTGTGGACTGCAGAGTCAGAGCAGTGGAGCTGCCAGTACCCTTTGGAGCCCAGAAGATCGTGAGTGAATCCCAGATGTCCAGCCTCGAGCTACTGATTTTACAGAAGCCCACCCACAGTTGAGACTTTTAAAAGAGACTATGGACTTTTAAGTGTTTGGATTTTTTAAGGACTGTGGAGTTTTTAAGGTTGTACTGTCTTATGTTGTGATATTAACATATCTTGGGGACAAAAATTGGAAAGTTATGGTTTAATAGAGATGCTTATGTGTCAAGTTGGCAAGGAGTCAATTGTGCTGGATAGCTTTAGTGTCAACTTGACACACCTGGGTTGAGGGACCCTCAATTGGGGAATTGCCTCTATTGGACTGGCCTGTGGCCATGTCTGAGGGCATCTTCTTGATGAGTGATGTGGGAGGGCTGAGCCCACTGTGGGTGGTGCCACCCCTGGGCAGGTGGGCCTGTGTTGCATAAGAAAGCAGGCTG